TGGGTGTCTCCGCGGCCATGAATATGAATTAGAGCGGGCGTGGCCAGCCTGGGCCTTGATAGGGCCGTCATGAATATGCAAACAGTGCGAGGATCGCCGGACCCTCTGTCGGGCCCCGGATCGCCGAGCTTGGAAAGGAGCCCCCCGCGGCCGCCGCCCCCGAGAAGGGGGCAGCCGCGTGTGTCTTTTCGCATCCCGCGCACTGAAATCTCGGCTTGCAGAAAGTCGCGGGATGCACGGACGCTCTGGGCGGGAGAGGTTGGGGGAGGGGTCGAGGCCGGGGATAAGGGGGTGCGGGAAAAGGGAAAGGAGCGCGAAGGTATGGTGGGCGTATGTGAAAAGCGGGGAGGCCGAGACCACCCCCCGAGATGTTAGAGTTGGGAGCTTGGAAACGGGACGGGACGGTGTGAGGAAGGTCGCTTGCGGGGAGTTGAGGCACCGCGGCGGCGATCCGTTCTGGAGACCCTGATTGCTGCAGGGTTCGTAAAAGGCCTGGTCTGAAGACCTGGCCGGCTGATAGCAGGGGCGGGGATGGCGGGCTGGCTGCAGCGGGAAGGCCGGTGAGGTTAGTGCCATATGGCAAGGAGCTACGCTACTTTGTGTGTCGCCTGGGCTCCCCGGCGGCTGCTCCTTGCCTGGATGGTTTGCCGACATTTGGAACCGTGTGGTGCCTCGGTTTTTCTAGCTGGCACCCTCCTCCCTTATTTTTAATCTTTCCACCCTCTTCTGCCTGGAGTTCTTTGCAACGCTTCCTATCTCCAACCACTCCCTCTCTTGGCTGAGGTTCCAGGTACACACACCTCCTTTTAAAAGTTACTGAATGGCAATTAGTGCAGGCAGGCAGGCTCTGTGACCCTAAAATACACTCTCTGAACTATTCTTGTACAGTAACACATTCTTTCTCTGTTTCTGCCTTTCTTGGGAAAAGAGTGGTCTGAGTCAGGCTGGGAGAACTCTTCAAATGGCATTTTGGCATCATTGTTTCTGTCTTTTGTGGGGAACCAGTTGTTTTTTTCTTGTTTACCATGAAGCTCCTTCTCTGATAGGAATAATCTATTCTCTTTGTCCGTTTGAGTAAATTACATGCTACAAATCCCCTATACCTTCCAGTTCTTAGAACCCTGTTCCTATCTGCTTAGCAGAATTGTATTCTTTGATCTTTAGGCAGCATTTTCATTTTGCTTTCAAAATTTTTATGATAGGCTCCTACATCTGCCCTGTTTTTATTTGGATTTCTTTATTTGGATTTCTTGCTTGGAAATCAGTTTGAACTAAAAGGAGCCACTGACGATTCCTGCCCAGGGAAAACACACACACACACACATCATGACAAGAGGGGAGTGACTCAAGAGATTGGTTTCTCCACCAACCAGACGGAACATCAGATCCTACAGACAGTTCTCTGGAGACGGGAAGAGTAGCACATTCTGGCCTCATCTAGCTACCTTGGTGGTTCAGCTGAAGGAACAAGAGGCACAAATTGCTTTGCAAGAGAGAACTTCTGGAAGCAAAGATCAGCCCAGTTTAAATTGCATATAAATGCCAGCATGTTGCTCTTCCTTTCCCCTCCACTCCCGTCTCTTGTGTGTCTCTGTCTTCTTGGGTTGAGCTAGTGGGCTCTTTCTCTTTCTTTTAATGGATGTAAACAGCTTTGGAAGACAGTTAGGTTTATTTTGACATTGCTTTTCAGCTATCAGTCTTTAGCATAAAATTATTATAATGTCATAAGGGTTTTTATTAAACCAGTGTGGTTTCATCTAAAACCCCTATTCTTACAAGTTTTTATAAGTCCATCTGCCCCTACTTGCTCATTTCTACTGCTGTTCTTTCTCTAAGGAGGCCCCTCCTGGTTAACCATCCCATGAGGGCTTTTAATCCTTGTTCTTATAATGTTCATGTATGTGCTGTGGTCATGCTAAGATTAAGATTCTTTTGCAGTCTTCTTTAACCAAGGACATCATGCAGGTTTATGGACTTCAGTTCCCACCAAGGTTCTTATCAGTGGTCATTCTGGGTGAAAAAGGCTGGGTGTTGGTGCACACACATCTGGAACTTCCCCAAGTTCAGGAAGACTGCTTTTTACGTGTGAACTTTTCACACATATAAATCATTGCCTTCTGCAAACATTTTATAAACAGAATCAAAAGGGTAACATGCAAAATAAGAATCCAGAAATGGCAAGGGATTTGCTTGAATATATATTATAGTTCAGACAGTATTGAAGGATGGGCCCTTGAATGACAGGGTGATAAGTTTTCACTGTTTTTTAATTCTTTTCATTAATTCCATTGTCACTATCCTTCAGTGAAGAGGTGACCTCATTGCCTCATTCCTTTACTGAGAAATGTGACCAAATCATGAATACCTTTAGATGATAATGTATACAACTGGTAGCCTGATTGAGTACTAGCTGCACAAGATGTGTTCCCATACAATGGAGCACTTTGAGAAGAGATAGTTGTGCTGAGGAAACATCACTTTTCCACCTTTGGAGCACCTGTCACTACTGTGGAGGTAACCCCAACCCCCTCAGCCCTTTCCTCATAAGACCTCCCATGTGGCTGCTAACATTCTATGGAAGGAGAATTCAATTTTACCTATTGTTTTTTTGCAAGGGTTTCTTCTTTTATCTATTTTTTTTCCTTTTAGCACAGAATTGCTAAAATGTAAATGGGGGAGTGTGGGTGGGGAGTGATTAGTCAGTTTACCTTTCTGTCTATGTCCATCCAATCCTTTTATACAAGAGTGCTTGTATAAATGATAGAGGAGTTCTGATTTTTTAAAAGTACAGTGGAAAAAGAAAATCAATTTCAGCTGTGGTTTTAGAGGCAAAGGTATCTGAAAGTAATAGGGGTTTATTAATTTCACCCAATTCTCTGTCTTTGCTACAGTTTTAAATTCAGGCTAGATTGCATGTAGAACAGATAATGGTGCAGGGACACTCCTCAGAATGGAGAGAGGCAGAGTTTACATATCATGAGTCACATTTTCAAACCAAATGGGACACCTAGTTTAGTACAAGCTTGCAAGAAATATATATTGCAATAGAAGGTTTATTGCTATGTTATAATAGATACTTCAATTATTGCTGATCAGCATTTTTTTAAAAAAGGTAGTGGGAAAAGAAAGAATTATAAAGTAATAATTTGGGGAAACTTGTTTGGATTCCTTGGAGAAAATAAGGAACAAGACTTTATGTTGCAGAAGGCAACTGGTATAAGAAGCATTGTATGGTCTGTGTCAGTGGCCCTTTTAGTTTAGATGAAGGGAAATTTAGCCTTGCAGATATTGTTGGATTATCATTCTTTACCATGCTCATTGCCTGTGCTGACTAGGACAGTGAGAATTGATGTCTAAACCACCTGGAGGCCAAAGGTCCCCATCTTTGCTCAAGAGAAATAAAGCTGTTCTATTTCAAGTTGGTTTTGAGCTAGGAGGTCACAGGTTGCATCAGTACTGATGGTCATGGATGCTTAATCCACCAATAGTGCAGAAAAGGCCTACATGATACTTCTCTGGATATTTCTGTAGGAGATGTTTTACTGAATATCTTGCAGGTATGAATGCTTTACAACAGGAGTGTCTGTAGATATTTAACAGTGCCCTTTGGGCATTCTGTCATTTCTATTTCTTGGCTCCGTTTTTGCACTTGCTGCCTTTTCACATATACCTTTTGGCGTCTCTGTGTCTGAAGTTTCTTCCTTCTACATTTTCTCTGCTATTTGCTTGTTCCCCGGGATTTCCTCAACCAGATCCTTATTATAATCTGGGGTGGGGGGAGTGGGGGTGGGTTCTTCTGCAACTTTTAAAGTTGCAACATCTCAAGTTGCAATAGATGTTAATTCTGATTTAAGTTCTAGGGAACCCTTTTTTCTGTTCAGTTGCTTGCCATGTAGTAACTAGGTGGATTTAGATGCTTTAGTTGAAATATGTGCTTAACCATTACCTTATTTATCTGCCTTGGCTAAATCATTGTCTCCCTGTTTCAGTTCCCCATATATAATGCGGAATAATTTTGTCCTACATCACAAAATTCTAAGGAAGTATAATGAACATTTCTGTGTAGATAGCAATAACTATTCTACTTTAGATATGCCTTTCTTTTCTTGCACACTGGACCTTCCTGCCTTTCTTATGTTCTTGTAGCTTACTTGTCATTTTACAGATTTACGTTTCTGCATATCAACTTTTCATCATTGTAGCCCAGGGCTCACTTAGAGAATATGATGTGTTTCCTTGCCTCAAAACCTTCTTTAAAGATGCATTACAATTAATTTTAAGGCCCCCCTCTACATTTTTTTTCTATGAGCAAACTGCTTTATAGAAAAGTCTAGGGTTAGGATTAATGTTAGATCTTGCATCTACTTGAGAGACTGTACTAGAAAAATCAGTTTGTTTATGGGACTTTCAAACCAAAATGTAGAACAAGTATGGAAGAAAGCCTCCCCTCTACCCCCAGGTTTCTTGCAACATGAAATACTGTAAGGAGAAGAATTCTACCGTGATAATTTCTTCCTATTCAAAAACTCAATGAATTCTTTTCATCATGTGATATCCTCAGCCAAACAAAGTTTTTTTCCTGGTTCTTTGTTTACTCATTGTGTATATTTTCCCAAAGTATGTACTTCCTCTTTGAAGGTTACTTCATACTTATTTTACATGGATATCATTCTTTAAAGTGTGGGGAAAAATGTAAGCCATCTAATATCATGAATGCATTTCTCACTCTTTCTCCATATACGTTATTTTTTTCAGAGACAAGTAACATTTATGTAGCTTAACTTTATGTGTGGACTGGATTGAATTGTTTGATATTATGTTACATTATATCTGGCACACTGAAGTCTCTCAGCTTCACCCTGGTTGACAAATGCCTTCTACAGCCTGATTCTCTAGATATCTTGGGACTACAACTCCCAGAAATTCCAACCATTGTAACTGTTGGGCACCTTTGTAGATCAAAACAGGTTAAGTAGTCGGTATTGGATGGTACTTCAAGAGGCAGGGCTGTGCATAATTGGAATTAGGATTAAGAAGAGAGAAGATGATAGAAAACAACAGTACAGGTAGTCCTCGATTAGTGACTGCCATTTTTTAGTGACTGTTCACAGTTACAGTGCTGATGAAAAAGTAACTTTACGACCAGTCCTTGCATTTACAACCTTCGTAGGTCTGTAAAGCAAAGGAAAGCTGAAGTAAGATCATAAGCACCATTGTGGTTTTACTTAGTGACTGCTTCGCCTAAACAACTGACTTGCTGGTCCCAATTGTGGTTGTTAAATGAGGATTACCTGTATGTGGGTAATGCAAAGATTCAACCTGAATCAGTGTTATCTGCAGGAGAGGTTGGCTTGTAGATATAAAGAGATGAGATGAAGAGCTAAGCAGCAAGAGGAGAGTTGTCAGTCAGCTATTTAGTCTCCCTCATTCAGGCTTAGAAGAAGATGCTTGCTGGTCTCCAAGAAACAGGCTAAGTATGAGGGTTGCTTTATATTCTTTCAGGGATACTCAATCTCCTTCCTTTGGCCATTGTGCCAGCTTTTTCTGTATGACTAAAGGGGAGCTCTTCATGAGCCCTCCTCCAGCCTCATTCTGGGGTTCACTTCTGTTTTGAATATAGCCAGTTGGAACGGTTTCTGCAGCACATGCTCTCTGTAACCAAGATGCTGGCTGTTTCCCTTCTTAGAAAGAGTTTGGCCCATTCCTGAAATCTAGTGGGAGGTCGTTGCTGTAGTGATGGGAGCAGGCCCCAGCTTTACCTCATTGAATTCCAGTGGCTCTGCCAAGTGATTGAGAAATCAGGAGAGGGGAAGCACTCCAGATGTTTACTCCCTACCCTGCATATCCTGGTTGGGAGCATATGCAGCTGGGATGGCGCTGAGCTGAGATTCTCCCATTTCTGGGGGGAGAGGGAGGTGGCTGAAAGGAACTTGGAAGGAGGAGGATGGCTCTGATTAGAAAAGCAGCCAAATGGGAGTGCTGTGGCGAAGTGACAAGAGCTAACAACAGAAAGAAAGAAAGAAAAAGCAGCACAGGGTGGAAGAGGCAGATCTGGCATTAAAAGGAGAGAATAGCAAGTTGGCCAGGGAGGAGAGGGTGTGACGAAGGTGATGCAAGGGCAGTACTGTGCAGAAAAGGCAGTAGCATAGGCTACGAAGCCTAAAACCCGATACATTTGAGGTTCTGATCCTTCAGTGTGAGTCATGACCTGGTTGCTTGTGAGAGTCCTGCTCCCTTCATCCTTGTTCCAGCCTGCCCTGGGAGTGGCCTAAAATGACTGACTCTGTGTGTGTGCATTTGAGAGAGAAGGAACGGCGCCTTATGTTAAAGCTAAAATCTAGCTAAAAATAGTAAGCAAATGCATTGGGGCATTTTCATTTTGATGGTTTAACATCCATGCTGTGCCATCAGATAAGTCTTGATTATCTCTTGAGATAGTTTGCAAAATGCCTAATCTTTTTTTTGTGTGTATGTGTGTCCTAGGGGCTGGCCTTTATGCTGAGTTCTGAGTCCCAGCCTGATGCGATGGATTCTAAACCTCAGTCGCTGTGTTCTTCATTTTCCATTACTGCTGCCAATGGCCGTAAAGAATCCAAAGCACCTTCCAGCAGCCCTGAGATAGGTATGTCCCAAGGGGCAACAGAACTGGGTTCCTTACACATGGTGATCTGCCAGGTTTTCTGTTGATGTTAAGGGAGTGGTTCTCCTAAGAATTAAGTGCTGAATGTTATAGGAAATGGCTCTTTCTGGACTTGCAAATTGCATATATGGGAGAACATTTTCTGATGTACTCTTAGGCATAATTCTCCTTTCCCCTTCTGAAATGTTGAACGCTAAACTAGAATACCTCTTGCTGCTATTCTAGATTTGTAGGTTCAGGAAGGTTTTTTTGTTACTGTTTCAGGACATAAGATAGGATTCCAACATTTCCCTCCTCCCATAGTCTAAAGTGATAAAATCCACCAGGAGCTTTAACCACGTTAACCTGGTGGTCATACCAAATATTGTTCCTACTTTTTAGCCTGAGACTGTTGCACCTAAATGCAATCCACAAGGTCTTTCACAGGCTATATTTTTCTTTGTCATCTGAGATTTGCAGGTTTGATAAGCCAGAAGTTTGTCCAGTCTGACCTGGGTTTGAAGTTGCATGCCGTCTTCATGGAAAATGTTAAGAAATGATGCCCACCTTACTTCCTCCCTGCCACCCCATTTTCAGCTCAGCGCTGCTTACATCCTTTTATTGGAAAGAAACAATGATGTTTGGAATGCATGCATGCTGTTGCACTTGCCTAACCACAGATTCTTATAATCTCTGAACAAGCTTGTCCTGTTAAAAGGATGAGAGGACTTAATTTTTTCAGAAGCAAGCTACTCTGTGCTTGCCAGGAAGACAGTAGACCACTGAACCTTTTCTCAGCATAGAGCACAGATTGCAATAGTATCCTCTGAAAATTGGGAAATTAAGCATAAACAGCATTAATAATAGTGATTTCAGTTTTTTGTCTTTAGACTGAGAATTCTTATATTGGAGTCCTATCATTTAATGGCTATGTGTCAACATTTAATTTCCTATTCAATGCTTTTCTTTCCCCTCAGGGGATGCTCGTCCAAAGCCACCCGTGAAACCCAAGCCCTGTGTTCTTCCTAAGCCAGCTGTGCCAGTGAAACCTAGGCCTGGACTGCGTCAGTCTCTTTCCGAGGTGCCTTCTGCAGAAAAGATCAATTTGTTGGCTGGGCCTAAGCCTTATAGCAGTGGAGCTGGCAGTACTGTAAAGCGTCTTTCCTTTAACCTGAAATGCTCTCCAAGAGAAATTACCAATGGGAAAGAAGTTTCATCTTCTTTCTCCACTGCAGGCAAGTTATCTGAAGATAATGAAGATGCTGAGCCCACAAAAAAATCCAGTGCTATCGAAGGAGCTTCCGGGGAGGAATGTAGAGAATCCTCTAGTATACACAAATGCACGCTCCCCTTTAAAGTGAAACCGGTGCCAGTAGCAACCAAGCCGGAGCGTTTTCCTGGGACTACAGTGGAGGAAATCTTGGCCAAAATAGAAAAACCCAGCAACGAGGCTCCAATCAGCTCTGACAGGCCTCGGCTAGTACGCTCTTTCTTCAGCCAGGATGGTGGTTCAGCTGTTCACCTGGGGCCTAAGGGTTATGTGGCTTTCCGGAGGAGTTCCAGTGGAGAAGAAGGAGTAGGAACAGATCCAGAAGGTCCTGCTTATCGAGTCTCCTATGAAGTTAAGGAGAGGAGATTGTCAAGGAACACGGAATTAAAGGAAGAAAGTAGGAGCTCAAATGGGCAGCATGTGCCTGAATCTCAACAGCCCGAGGCAGAGGTCAAAAGAAATGTGGTTTTCCTTCCTACAGACAGGTGAGGTTCAGATAATCACAGTGGATCCTTCTGAGTAGCCTTGGAAGTTCAGCTTTGCTGTGTGGCTCATCCAGTGCATTCTTAGAACATAGATTGGTTTTGGATTAGTAGGGATTCTAGCTCTAGCATTCCAAGAAAAATGAAACTAATGCGCCAAATGTACCTGGCAGTTTCATTCTTTGTTCTTTTACATTTGGCACTAGCAGGGGTAAATCCTTCCTCTAATCTAAGAATAAAAGATTAGGTTGTCACCTTTTTAAGATTCCAGTCCTCCCATATATGTATACTTGGAGTCAATCTCATTCAGCCTGATATGACTTTCCTCTGACTAATCACGTCTGGAATTGAGCATATTTTCCACAGTTCCATCATTGCAAAATCACAGTTATAATGAATATAGGGTTGCAAGTGATGGCAGCTCTCAGATCTGTTGACAAGGTAGAGGAGATGACATCAGATGAAATTGAAGATGCTTGGAATATTCAGCAAGACTTAAAATTTCCATAATTTTTTCATTTAACAGTATAATCAGTTCATTTAGATCAGGCATGAATAGCTTCCCCATTCTTATGTAGATTACGCTTGTGATGGGTATGATGCCCTTAATTTTTGCATTTAACAGTATAATCAGTTCATTTAGATCAGGCATGAATATTTCCCCATTCGTATGTGGATTATGCATCTGATGGGCATGATGCTCTTAAAATAGGGATGGGCCATTTTTATGGGCTTTGAGAGCTCTAGTCTTTGGACATCCCCCTGTTGCTGGAACAGGAAGATACAAGGAAAGTGGCTGTTTTCCACTGCTACTAGAAGTGGAAAAATTGTGATATTCCAGATAGCTTAAGTTGGAGGAAGTTAAAGCCACTCCACTCTCTCTCCTTGAAAATGGTTCTTCTCAGTTTCTGGAAGCTTGTGCAACAACCTAGGAGTGCATCTTCACATGCCCACTTCCTTAGTGCAATGGCTGTAGTAGTATGTATGTGGAGAAACTGACATCCCAAAGAGTTAAGGTAAGCAGTGGCCCTGTGAAAGACCTTTGAGGGCTCTAGGTTGTCTGTATGTGCTTTAGATTCAGGATCCTTACTTCCGGTTTATGAGGTTATTGATTTACTTGGTATTCATCCTGCCTTTATTTAAAGTAATGGAAGGTGGTTCTGTTCTGTAATGATAATGCATCTTTCTGTTAGCAGCTCCAGCCAGACTAGCATGAGCTGTGAAGGAGACCAACTTGGACCCAGCAGTCCACTGTCTTCTCCTGGTGTGAGTTATCTGCAGCACCGCAATTCCTCCACTGGTTTCTCTCCCTCCAGACTCTCTTCTGTCTCAGGGGTATCTGCCACCTCTCTCCTTCCAGGCTCCCTCCCTGTAGGGTGCGTGTCTCCTTTCTCTACTAATGCTTCTCCTCAAGAAGAGAGTGATAACCCTCGCAAGCAGTACACGTTCATGCATTGCTCCTGGTTGTCTTAGGCCAAATTGGTTGTTCTTTTGGGCACAGGTTATGGCATTGTAAACAAAGAAACAATTCTACATGCTGTTTTGTCCAGGTGCTTGATGTTTCAGCTAGCATGTTTCTGCTAGCTGTATTAGATGTTAACCCCAGATATTTTGATATACGTTTATATTTTCCCACCCTGAATAGCACTACCAGGAGTGCAAAAATCCAAGCTATGCTGGTTAGTAGATCATAAGAGTCTAGGTAGTTATTCCAGTGCTTTTTTTTTTTTACTAACCACCTCGCCTCCAAGCAAGGAAGAACAGAAAGAGAGCAATGTTTCTTCAGATCTTAAAAAAAAAAAAAAAAACCCTCTGGCTCAGGCTAACTTGATAGAGAGAACCAAAGCTAATGCAAAGTTATGGGGCTGTAGCTGGAGGGAAGGGAGCAGCTGTGACTCAGAGTATGTAGTTCAACGACCTGCCAGGTATGTATGAAACAGTTCCCACTGCTCGGCTTGTAGCCAAATCTGCTAGTAGGGAAGGCACAGCATCCTCTTGCTGGTTGCTCAGAATGGGTGATGGTAATGATTAACTCCATTTGCCTTACTTAAGGAAGAAGGGCCATCAGCTCATTGGGTGTGTTTTACCTCGCTTGGCTTTGTTTTGAGCTCTCTCTTTTTGTAAATCTAGTAGAAAAGAAGGCAAAAGCTGGGGTGGGGCATGTCATTTTGTTGTTACTGCAGAATGTTGACTGATTTCTTCAGCTTCTCTTTTTCCCTTCCTGTTCCATATTTTTCATTTCATTATCTTCTGGCTTTAACAATATGGAGATGGTATTTTGGGGAGAGTTTTTCAAGGTGTGGGATAGTTTTTGGTGTGTAAAAGCAGGAAGATGCTGCCTATGGGGTGATTCAAGGAAAAGGGACACAATTGGGCCAGATATCCTTATATTCTAAATATTCTTGGGCTATAGGATGCAAGAGTTTAGGTCCAAGATTTTGCTAGATTTTTGAGGAAGGTTTCAGGAAAAGAAAGTAGTTTAATTTGTTCTTTCTGTTTGTCTCTTTCCCCCAGACCAAACTCTCTTCCAGAGTCACACCTGGATCTCCTGATGCCCCTTCTGAAACAACCCAACCCCCTGGTGCCCCATACTTTCCAACAGATGTCCCATGTAGTGAAGCTCTGCTTTCACCAGGCTCCCCTGAGGGATCTGCTAAACCCTCCAGAAGTCCTCTGGAAGTCTCTGTCAGTCATGTTCAGACTGCAGATTCCCCTGTGACCATTGCAGATCCCTGGCCTCCAGGATCCCCCATTAAGACTTCTCCAGGACAGTCCTTGCTCTCAGGTTTGGCAAGTGTTTCTGCAAGATACCCTGAGGTCCCTCTTCTTCCTGAACATCATGCCAGTTTGATCCATCCGCCTGTTGAATATAATCTGGAGTCTCACCAATGTCTTATGGGAGTCTCAGAGTCCCCCGGCTCCCCTAGCATTCTTCCAAAGTGCCATGTTAGTTCTGATCAGCCTCCAGGTTCCCCTTCATGCATACCAGATACCCTACTTGGTAGGGACAAAGATTATCTCGAAAATCAAGCACAGATGCCTCCTTTTGAGGACAAGGCCCCCCAACTAGTTCAGCGGCGTGCTTCAGAGGGAGTAGTGCAACCACGGGGTAAAAAAATGGTCAGGGAAGAACTAGGAGGTTCCTTAGCTGCACTGCCAAGAGAAAAGGGCCTATCTGTAGAGCAGACTTTAGGAGGGGAGTCTAGTTGGAGTCTGTCACAGTCATTTGAATGGTCATTCCCTAATCAGGGTCTTGAGTTTGGTGGGAAGAGACTAGTATCTCCTCCCAACTCTCCCATTAAGGAACACGATGATGACAACCTTTTGGAAGCAGAATTGGGTGGAGAGATCCCTCCCCTTCAGGGATTAGATCAAGAGACAGGTCCAGAGGGACAAATCAGGAGAGGGGAGGAGACTGAGACTAGTGGGTACAGTGCCAGCAACTGCGAGGAAGCTAAAAGGAACTGGAAGAAGATTGAGGGGCAGCTAGAATCCCAATGTACCCTTGAGTTGTCAGCACCTGGTGGTCCCTCTGTTCAGAGAAAGAATGATAGCCCCAATCTAAAAGGCCCTGTGGTGGCAGAAGAGGTTACTTTTCAAGAGGATCATGATGCTTTCCTCCATTTTTCCCCAACCCATGAGGAAGGGGCTCTACGAGCAATGGAGCCATTGCCAAGTGTAGAGCAGACTGCTCCTCCTGCAGAGCCTTGCATCTTGTTCTCAGAAGGTGCCCAGGTGCAGACGGCTGCTTCTTGTCAGGAAGACTCTGATGCCCTGTGTGTGGCACAGGAAGCCAAGATGGGGAACTCTGACCTGCTGCATGGAGTTGAACCTGATCCTAGTTCACGTTGGCTGGATGAGCTTCTGGCATCTCCTCCACCCAGTGCTGATGATACAAAGAGAAGGAGCTCACCCAAGGTGGAAGACCCCACAGGACCACAGGTGAAAACATTGCACTCAGTATTAAGATCTTACTGGCATCCACTTTTCAGTGCTCTTAAGAACCTGGCATAGAAGGCGTTAAATGGACACAAGCATGCTTAGATGAGTGTACATTCCTGCCCAGTTAGATGACAGAGCCAGGGCTTGTCTTTAAGAACAGCAAGTTGTCTTTAATGAGAAACCTGCAAAGTAGTTAAACTGGTTAGGTGGCTGTAGAATGCAGAGGCTGAGCTGAAAGGTGCTACCATATGAGATAATCCTCCAGTCATTCTGGGAGAACTTCCTCTTCCCAGATCCAGTTCTCTTTGTGCAGCAAAGGGACTTTTGATTGTTGGACTTCTTGGCTATTAAGAAACTATAGTTTGAGTCCGTTACACTCTTGTCTAAGAGTGAATGCTATTGTTCTTAGTCAATAAGCATTTAAGTTATGTACATCAATTACTGAGGGAGGCTTGATTCCATTAAGGGCCCATTGATATGGTGGTTCTGAAAGCTGAGAAACCAAGTGGGCTGATAAATTAATTTCCAGTGGATGCTGTTTTCTCTTCCAACTGGGCCATATAAACTTCTGTATACTTTTCCCATCTTTGTTGGCAAAGTATCTGAATTATTCCTTAAAGCTGATTGTTTATTTTTATTGGTATGTTTCATGTTTACATTTTTTATACATCATAGTGCTTTTCTACTTAAGAACATGAGAATTAGCTATATCTTTGGTATTTATAATATACTACATTTACTTACAATTGGATATAGCTTTCAAACCTGTGGATATATATCTTAACTATGAATAGAATCATTAGTTACATGTAGAGATAATATAGTCTTATTATGGGAAGCGGCTTCCATTAAGAAACAGTCCATGCACAGGTTGGGAATGTGGAAAGCTGCCATGAAGTCAGACTGTTGGTCCATCTAGTTCAGTATTGTCTCATCAGTACTTTTAGACTCTTCACAACTGGGGCCAATCTTTATTTCTAATGTTTACTTTTGGATCAATTGTTTAGTTGTGGATCCTAACTCACCAGTTGAAAGTCAGTGGTCCATACAAAAGGTGGGGAACTTGTGGCTCTCATTATTGAACTATAACTCCAAGAAGCCCCAGTAACATTGCCCATTATGAAGTTGCTGGAATTACAGTTCAGCAATATCTGGAGAACCACACATTTTTACCTCTTAATATCTAAAATATTTAAAACTTGCTGTCAAAGGTCTTTTCCAACTCCATCTAGAAATAGAGACTGAAACTGGGATCTTTTGTATGCAGAATATGGATTTCTGCTAAAATACTTTGAATTTTTAAAAAAACTAAAATATGGATAGTTCCTAGATTTTTCCCCTTCACTTTGTATAATTTGTACTTCTTGTGATTCACGTCCCTCTAATTTATTATTCCAACCCTTTGCCCATAACAATAATCTCATGCAGTTTTCCCCTTTGCCTTGTTTTTGTGGTCTTTTTCTCTTTTTTTAGGATCTTCTTGGATGGTCACGGAAGGACCTTCATAGTGAGTTTGGCATCGTAGGTGCTGATCGTTCTGATACCTTTGGCTTGGGTTGGACTGCTGATGAGACCCAAGTAAAATGGCCTGGAGAAGCAGAACAGGATCGAGAGTTTGGCACTGGCTCGCGGGACTGGTCAAACTCATATACTGTTGGTAATGCCAAAAGTCAGGATATGGAATTTGGTTCCAGCCAGCAGGAATGGGCTAGAGGATCACCATTATTGGGCAGTTCCAGTCCAGGGCAAGAAGAATGGCTCACTTCCTATGGCAGCCATTGTGCTGATCATCCCACTGAGGAGTCAGATTGGAGCAGCACATACAGCATCAGTACTACTGAGGGTCAGGACACAGAACCCTATATGAGGAGGCCAGGCTGGCCTACACTCTGCAGTGCTGGCAGTGATCAACAAAGTAGTGAGTTTGCAGTTGAGAAGGCAGGTTGGAGCAGCCACTATCATGCTGGTGCTGCTGAAACAACTGACTGGCCGAGCAAATGCCATGTGGAAAATGTCAGTTGTCCAGAATCAGATGTCAGCCCTGAATCATCAAAGGTGCCTAGCAAATGCACTATTGAGAGCCACCAGGAAGCAGAGTTCAGTGTCAAACATTCAGATGACAGCTCCCCAGTTTCTGTGTTCAGTGCCAGCAATTTAGGCTGGCCTAGTGAATCTGATTCTGGCAGTGGTACTAGTCAACCACAAAGAGAGTTCTGTGCCCATCAAGTGGAACAATCTAGTGAACCTCAGAATCATCCAGAACCGCAGATTAGTTCCCAGCAGGAACCAGGACCAGATACATATGGCTTTGAGGATGGCAGCTGTCCAGAGTTTAAACTGAATGTCAGACAGTCTGACTGGGCTAACAGATGTGATACAGAAATTGCCCCAAACCAAGGTGATGAGTTCAGTGCTGGTAAACCTGATGGAGCCAAAGAATATGACGGCCAGACAGGCTGTGGAATTGGAATAGGTAGTGGAATCAAAGGCAGTAACTCTCAAAGGGAGGCTGATAATCAGGAGTTCTGTGCCCAAAGGTCAGTCTGGTTTGATGACTATAACTTGAGGGAATTTGAACCAGGAGAGAGCACTCCTCCTGGTGCAGGAGATTGGGTCAAAGACCCTGATTTCTCAGGAAGCGAGGAGATCAATGCTACAGGACATGATTTAACTGCTGAATTTGGCTCATTAGATTTATCTGATCAAAAAGTTGCAGTCAGTTTGGAGGAATCAACTGACAGCCTAGCACATCAAGCTGGGAACTTAACAAATTTGGCCATGGACGAACCCGGAGGAATTGGAGAAGGGGAACCTGAATGGACTGAAGATCTTGGCCTTGGAAGTTTGGCTATTTCCAGTGACTTAAAAGTTGAGAGCTTAGAAGCTTATAAAAAACCTGTGGAGAAGCAGCTTGACTGGGTTCTTCCTATTGGCATGGAAACTTCATCTGCCTCATCAAATACAAGATCTGTGAATGCAGAGGGAGGCAGAGAACATGATGATGGACAAGCAGATTTATTCAATGATGTGGATGTATCTGGCACTGAAAACGCAGATGTTTCTGATTTGAGACCCAAGGCTTTGGACGGGACTGAAGTGGCACATGGGGACCAGAGCCATCACTTTGGGGCTACTGGTTTAGATGATGATGTGATGCAGCATCAAGGAGCAATACCAGAATCTGGAGAGAGGTAAAAGCTGTTACAATTATCTGATAGTTGAGATGCAAAGAAGCAAGGGATGAATGAACACAAGGAATTAAAGTGGCAATTAATTTTGCTCTTGCATTAATTTGTTAATCAACCATGGTAAATAATTAATGAGTAATTGCTCATATCCTACTGTGCTTGGCTGTGCTTCCTTTATCCCTGCAAATAACCAGTTGTTGGTGCACTGAGTGGTCTATAGTTCTTTGTGATGTAGGGTTGATGAAATAGGTTGTAACTTTCTTTGAAAGTCAGAAAGCTTCGGAAGAGCCCAAATTTGTAATGCCCATAGTGCTGTACTGTGGAATTACAGTTTACAGTTAAGATGGTTGCTGTTTCAGTTCTGTTCTTGTCTAAAGCAGCCTATCTCAACTGGACCCATATCAGATGTGTGGTTTCAATTTCCAGAATTCTCGGTAATGGCCGTGATGAACTGAAATTCTAGAAGTTGAAGGTGACATCTCTGGTGAATGCTCAGGCTGGGGAAGGATGGTTTAAACCAAGTGGGAAATAAATTGTACTTTTCACTGGTTGTTGAAGTACAATTGCTAGCTAGGCCATTGGGAACTGATGCTTAAAAACATATGTGTTTCCAAGATTGTCCATCCTTACCTTAAATTATAGGGCAGGGAGGATGTAAGAATGACCCGGATAGCCACAAGTGGAAAGTGAATATAATATGCTATGTGTTAATGCTGAGAGAGACAAACAGAGAGAAATAATGGTACCCAATGACGCTTGAAGCTGTGCTTTCTGGCACTCTATCATCTGGCCAAAAACCCCACGTGTAGACCTAGTAATTACAATTAACACTGCTCTGATTTTCTACCTGGGAAAATGCAGCAGGATACCAAAGCTGCTGCAGAATGAATATACAGATATCAGATTTATTTTTACTTGCTCTAAATGATCAGAGAAATGCGTAAAATTAGAGTGGGGTTTTCTGCAAGTGCTATTCCATTTGCTGCTGTATGATCAGTAGTTCATCCCTTGTAGTATCTTGTCTTGGGTAGCTGCCATATTCACTAGAAGGGAAAGCAGGGGGATTTATTATTTTCTAAATTCTGTTTAGTGCTTGATTTTCAATTAGCTGTCTATATCTGTGGGTTCCGTGTCTTTTATGCACAAAATCAACTAACTCTTTCTCTCCGATGGTGATCTCTCCTGCCATGTTCTTGTATTCTCTGAGATGAATGTAAAATAATATCCATAATTCTTTTCCCTGTAGTGTATTTTTTATCATCCTTATCTCTTCCCTGGATATTTTACCTACGATGAGATGTACATCCCACTTTGGCCTTTCTGGTATTTCTCCATTTTCCACAAAGCTTGAATTTTGGTTCTTAAAGCTGAAGGATCATAGCTAAAAAGCAATACTAATCAGTAATTTCTGGCCAATAGTGTCTTGTTTCTTCTACATTCTACTAGCTAGTACCTAAATTCTTCTCAAAATTTATGAGGCTAGGAATACCAAGGACCTTCAGAATCCATTCTATTAAGCAGACCATGAGATTATTCCTTTTTAAGGTATATATTTTGACTTTATTATTGATTCTATTTTCCTGATCTTAGATGTCCCTACAGCATTGACAGCTTCTCAATGATCAGTTTTATCAGCCCCTTTCTCACATTCCAGTTTTGATCTTCTACTACTTATGCTTCTCTGCATGAATTGTCATGCAGCTTCCAGTAAAAAAAAAACAAAAGTAAAGTGTAATGTTACAAGGCTAATGACAGCAAGCAGTGCTTTGCAAGGACTTATAGCTAATGTAAACTAAACCTTATCCTGACATGACCTTAATGTACCTTTCCTGTTGAACCCCTGGACCTTGATGGAGATTAAGTGTGGCTGTGAGATTTAGAGCACATGTGGAATAATGTTGCAGCAGAACTTCCTACCTATCCTGAGCAAGATGTTGTTTATCTTATATTTAGTAGATTGTTCTGAGGCAACACTTCCAAAGGGAAAAATAATGTGGGTGGTAAGAAACATGGAACAATCTTTGCTTGTCTTTTGCCAGAGTAGTGGAACAGAACTACCCCATGGAGATCCTCAATTCTGGAACCATGGCTCTTTTGGTTTTTCTGAAGAAATAATATTTTTGAAAACAAATTAGCTTGACAGGAATGCAGAATTGTAGCCTGCTATTCTTACTCTGTCATTCTCTTTTTCTCAGTTTTACACTGATATTGGGCCCATTTTCAGTTTATATAAACATATGCCCCATTTACAGTATGTTCACCTCATTTTCTGTGGCTTATAACCAATTTCTCCCTATATCCTACTATTAGAGGAATTCATCTCACTGCATGGAATAAGGCATCTAGATTCTTAGCTCATTCTTCCAGAATGCCCTCACTGCTTGAAATTATGAAAGGAAGGAAGAGCATATGAGAAAGTACTTCTGCAAAATTGTATAAAGAAACAGAGATATCCTTCTGCAAAACAGTAAAAATGCAGCAAATTCTTGATGTCATCCTATTATGTTCTCCACATACTGTATCTCTAGATGTTGGAAGAAAAAAGTTATCAGTTTTAAGTAGTTTGAAATTGCCATCATGTAGTTCATGTGACCTAGTAAAAGATGCTTATAGATATTCATTTGGCTTCTGTAGAGGGTCAAGGAGATGCAAGACATGACAATCAAGGGCACACACAGTTTTAAAGATGAACAAGAGCTGTTCTTATTCAGAAGAAGTACTGTCAGAGTTGGTTAAAAGAATCAGTAGGGAAGAAGAAGATTTCTAGATAATGTTAAGGGCATCCTGCTTCTCTCTCCCAACTCAGAGTCTGGGTTAATACAATATTTTCAAGTTGTCTAACATACATTGAGAGGTGTATTTTGGCACTGAATTTGGTGGTTTAATTTAAATAATTGTCAAGGCTCACTCTATATTGATTAACTGTGTGTCGGTCCTCTCCTCTCAATCACCCTCCAGACTGTAATTCCAAGAAATCCCAGCTAGCTTTTCCTGTCTTATTAACAGGTTGCATATCCTGTTGCATATAGATAAGATGACCTTAACAGTTATTTCTGTTAAAGGAAAGCTGTCTCAGGAGGAAATTATTCTCAGCATAAAAGGATGAGGATGCAAGCAAGGGAGAAGGGAAAGGCTTAACTCTAACCTGCCAAACAATTTTATGTTTCCCCCACCCCTGAGACTTTTTAGGAGAGTGATGTCCAAGGAAAACAGATAAAAATCTCTGCTTTTGATTTAAAAAAAAAGTCCTAAGGATAGACATTTTACATGCTATGAAACATGATAATTAACCATTCCCTTTGTGAATGGGATTTGCTGGGCTTTTTTGATAGATGAAGATATTTGTTTTTTAACAAGCTGATAATTCAGCTTCTGTTGCTTTGTTTCGTTTATCGCCAAAGTACCGTATTTTTCCGACAATAAGACGCCCCCATGTACAAGATGACCCCCACTTTTCCAACCCAAAATTAAAAAATCAACATTTTAAAGGCAGTGCAGAACACATTTTTATTTAGTAATTAGTTAACATTTACCTGATACAGTCGGTGGGAGGAGGCCCAAACCGTCTCCCTGCAGCTCTATTTCCAGGCTCTTTTGCATAACTGATTACATTCAAGCACGAGTGAAACTGCCAATAGCTCGTCTCTGCAAACAGCCTTCCTCTAATTGGTTTGTTCAGCATCAGCTGACGTCAGTTACATCAGGCTCCTGATTGGAGGCTAGCAATAGGAGGAAGTCTCTCTGCAGAAACAAAGTATGGGCAGTTTTGTAACCGTGCGATTCTCGGCTAACTTCCTTGA